TTTTTTTTTTTTTTTTTTTTTTTTTTTTTTTTTTTGTCATTCCATGATGTGTGCATATGCGCTCCATGGCTTAATTTTTAACCTCTAGCTAATTTGTGCATTCCTGATAACACAATGTGCAGTGGTGTATAATTCAAGCGACTAACAATATTTTGTTTCGTCCCGTATTTTGCAGTAAAGGAAGGGTTGCTCAGGTTGGCCCATTCCTTTACAATTAATTTGTTATAAAGCAAAAATATGTTTAATTTGTAACGCGTGTCTTTGGTGCAAAGAACAAAAAACAAAAAAAAAAAAAATATATATATATACATATATATATCCCCCGTGTTTTTGTCACCTCTTCAATTTATGTAAGTGGTCCAATCGTACTTTGCATAGGCAGATTTAAACGTCTCTACAGCATTGACATACTGCTGAAAATTTTGAAAACATTTATAAAATTTATCCTTTTTAAAAAGATCTGTAAAAATACATTTACACATATTTATGTAATCATAATTATTTTCAATTACTTGTATATACGTCTCCACTAGCGAAAAATTGACCGAAACGTAGGGGATCTGTTTCGGTAAAACATTATAAGGGGCATATTTATTTTGCGTGACAATTAACTGTTTGTTTTCTCTATATAGAGAATTTATATCTTCCAGATTTTTTTTGAAATAAATTTTTGCCTTCTCAAGTAACTCCATTGGTATTATGTAACAATTAATATATGTATGTTTTGTTTTTCTCAGCGATATTAATTCGATGCTAGCATTAAAACAGTTATTAAATTCGACAAAAATGCACGTCTTATTGCTTTCCTCCAACATGGCTATTAACGACTTCATGTGATTGCGCATGTCTTGCACGATATCAAAATTTGTGTTCGTTACGCTAGTGGTATGTTCAATAGGCGAAATAAACAACTGATCTTTTAAAAAGACATTTTTGTAATTATAGTAACATATGTATGACTTCTGACTGATGCTGATTATATTCAATTTATTTATTTTGCTGAACGAGTTGGAGTCGATGCAAAATTTACAGTCTACTAAATTTTTGTTCAATGCATTTTTTAACAACATTTTTTCTTTCTTTTCCGCTATTGTCATTTCCAATTTGGCGCTCAACTGGGTCATTTTATCCGTGCTACGTGTCTTCACTTTGTCTTCACTTTGGCTACTAAAATGAATTTCCTCTTTTTCCCTTGTGCTTTTCCGTTTGGTTTTATCATTCGCAGGGGCTCTGCTCCGGTCCGAGTCGCTTGTTCGTCCCCCCACTGTGTAGCTTTTCCCCGCTAGGTTGTTTTGCCCATCCTCGTGCTTTTTTCCCGTTCGTTTGCGCTCGGCACACTGGGTGATTTTGTCTTTCCTCGATTCTTCTTCCACCTTTTCCTTCTTTCTCTTCTTTCTTTTTCTCTCCTTTTCTTTCTTCCTTTCGTTCCTTTCTTTTTTGTCCCTCTCCCTATGTCCCCTTCGATGTTTCTCGCGCTTTCGTCTTTTCGTCTTCTCTTGGGATGAGGAAGAGTATGTGCGTGAAGAGGCAGAAGCGGAGGATGCGATAGATGAGGACGATACGGCCGTGGCTCCCGATGCGGACGACGCTGATGCGTCCGAGGAGGCACTTGCCGAGCTCCCCTTCGCGCTCCTCCTCATGCCTTTACTCTTCCTTTTAAGAAGAAAATTTTTACATTTCTGGTCGTAGGATTCTTTATCATTTAGTTCGTCCCTCTTTAGCTTTCTCATATCAGACAGGTGCCGATCATGCATTCCCTTAACCCTAATTTCCTTTCCCCTCTTTTTTTCATCGGCCTTGTCTTCATTTTGGGAATGTACATTATTCTTTTTCAGGAGATTTAGGAAGTTGTTTTTCGCGTATTCGTAGAACTCGTCTACGTTGCTCATTTTTGGAGTTGCCTCTACGCGGAATGGGGGCAGGAATTGTCCAAGTCCGATTGCGCAGAAAGAAAAGGAAAATAAATCAAGCGCATGATAGAAAAAACGAACGAGCGACTGCTCAGTTCATCTCGGTCGCTTCAAATCGTTGACGCCGGCAAACGACGAAATTAACATTCGCCGCTTCATGCAGTGCGAATAGCGCCACAAGTTAAGGGTTGCCAATGCATAAAAACAAAAAAATGAAAAAATAAAACAACGTATGATATACATTAAACTCTTGACACAGCATTAAAAAGTGTGAAACAAATCAGGAACAGAAAAAAATTACAGAACAATGAAAGGACTCCGTTTTTGCCTTTTCGATTATGCATTAATCATCACTTAAAAAAAAAAAAACAATAAGGCACAAAAACAACTTTTAATAATTTTAAGAAAAACAATTTAAAACACGTTTAGATAAAAAGGTTGAAACGTCAGTTTCCTCGGAAACCGTTTCTCCATATAGGCGAAACGTCATGCAAATTTGTGAAAAAAAACAAAAAAAATTCCCAAATTAACGCGTTTATTAGACCTTCACTTGGGGGTCATTAAGCTGGAAGAGGTCAATTAACACTGTCCGAGTCGCTTGAATTTTTTATTAGGAAATGCTGAATGGGGAAAAGAGAAGAAGTTTTGTTGTCGTACCTTTTAACAAATCCCTCGCACACTTGCATCATTTTTGTGCACGCGCTTTGAGTAAGTGATACGCATACACAGGTTATGAATTTTTCTTTCCTTTTTTACGTTTATGTAGGGATCATCCGTTGACTTAATCCATTTGTTGGACTCCCTTTTCGCGTTGGCTAATATGGCTTCTCGTATTTTTTCCGGGAATTGCATAACATCACCTAGAGGACAAAAAAGGGGGAGGTGGAAAATAAAGCGATTCACTCAACAAGCGTAGCGGTGTAAGTGTATATGCCATATAGCGCACATCCACATGAAAAAAAAAAAAAATTACCCGAGGGTGTGATGAATTCCGTTTTTTTGACAACAGTGGGAATTTCGTACTCGCCCATTGCTGCATTCATAATTGATAAGCTGTTCCTATTGTAACTGCAAGTAATTTTCTTTATGTTGAAGTAGGACGGCTTGAAATATTTAAACATGTAGAGGGATGGGTTTAAAAGTTTTATATTATCGTAAATTTCTGGTTCTTCGTAGATGCTTTTTTTTTCCTTTTTTTGTTCCATCTGTCTTCTTCCATAGTAGGAGTAAGATAAATTCGTTTCCTTCTTTTTCTCTTTTTTATCACCACTGCTGACAATTTCGACTGCGCTGAATCCGTACAAGCAGAGGTTGTTCATTAGGACCTGCGGGATGGGGGAGACACATGTGCGACACGTGTTTGTGCAACAAAGTATGTACACACAGGCATGATCACTCAGGGAACTGCGTATAGAGGGAACCGTGTATCAGCGTAACTGCACTCACGGAACTCACCAGAATTTCGTCCAAGTCGCAGCACACATCAATCGCCTCCACAGCATCCCACAGGGGGTCGTGAACTGGGGAGGGGTTCGCAATGAATATTATTTTCCCCCGTGAGACGGCGGCGTCGCCACCGCTATTTTCATTCCCCTCATCGGGGCTTCGCAAATTGTTCATTTTAGGTTTAATCCTGAATTTGTTAAAAACGTTCAACGTGTGGCTGACTACGGGGGAGGAGGTTTCTTCTTTTTTTTCGATAAGCGCAAATTGTCCCCACATGTATATTGAATGTTTAGTATTTCCAGGCTTTGCAATCAAGCAGACAAAATTATCCGAACATGCAATTTTGATTACACTAATGTTTGGCGAAAGGCAAGTCAACGGGTATATTGATATTTCATCGAGATTTCTTAACTTGTTTTTATTTAACCCTAAGATGCACTTGTAATTATTGCCCCAAATGTACAAAGAACTTTTATCGCTCCTTAGGCACACATTGTAGCTGTCATTACACAGAATTGTGTGACACTCAGATATTAAAAGCACCGGTTCGTATATATTCTGGTGAAAATATTTCAAGTTGATAAAAAAGAAATTTCCACTCATGTAGAGATCACCCTTTCTACAAATGTACCCACTATGATAGGATGCACAGCTGATATTCTTAATCTTAATTTTGTTTTTTAAAAAATGTTTTATTATTTTAGGATATCTTATTATACTCCTTTCATATTTTTGCCCACATTGTCCAAATAAGTTACTTCCCCAGGAATATACATTTCCATTTTCTGATAGAGCTAATGTATGTTCAGACCCACAACTAATATTGGCAATTTTATTTGTTTCACTTACCACCTTGGTGAATTCCACGATTTTTTCATTTTCCCCCTTAGCATTTTTTTTATCTATTATTTGGTAATCTACAATGTCATGCATGGACTCCCCTCCATGGGTGCTCGAAAAAAGGTTTGTATCAATTGTGAATTTACGTGTGTGCTCGAAAATTAAATGTTGGATATTTTTCTTATACTTGCTGCATAAACTGTTCTCTGTGTACTTTTTCTCTTTTTTTTTCTCCTCTTGGTGCGGTGCACCGTTGCCTTTTCCGCTTTGGGTATGACTCGAATTTCTTTTCAGGTGAGAAACGCTGGTTTTGTTGTCTTCTGGATGGGATCCCACACTACTCAAGGTACTTTCCCTTCTTGTGGTATCCATGGTGGAGCTACATCTTCTTCGACTATGATCTGAGAAGTTCATCATGTCTTTGCTCCTTTCCCGGGGCAAGGATTTTCCTTCTTGGCGTTTACCTTTTGGCTGATTTTTATTCCAACACGGTGGAGGGAGTTGATTCGCCTGATCGTTCACGACTACGTTTGCTAGGTTTCCCATTGTGTTGTTAGTCATGCTGCTCGTGATGCTGCCCTCTACACTGTTCTGTATGCCTTTCACTGCACACCGGGACTCCCTAGCAACGTCGTTCGTGTGGTAGATAAAATTTTTCTCAAATAAGTTGTAATAGCCAAGTTGTCCGTAGTCATTCGAACCCAAGCTGTACACAAACTTGGCGTAGTAGTTCTTCCGATCCCCATAAGTGTTACTCTTCCGCATGGAGGTCGTGAACCCGTCTTGGGAATCATCAACAGGCTCACTGATAACACTTTGGCTTATTAGCAGGATGGTGTGGGTTCTCCCAACGAATATTTGTATGGAACCAAAAACGGGAATGTTAAAAATGGTATTCTGACTATTATTAGTGCATTTCTGAAACATTTGTTTCATGTGAATTATTTTTAAAATGCTGTTAATTTTGTATGCCCACGGAAGGGTATAATGATAGGAGACATTTTTATACATTTTTAAATTAAACACAATATTAAAGTGATGATTTTTCTTTTGAAATTTCTTAAAGTAAAAAAAGTACCATTGTTTTAATAAAATGTGATAGGTCAAAAGTTTCAGAGCTTTTCTCTCCTTCAAAATATAATATTTGTAAAATGGGAAATTGTTTTTTTGTAAAAAGTAATACTTGTTCTTGTCATATTCACTGCTGTACATGTTAAAATGTGCTTGTGAAAAGATTGTTTTTAATCTATAAAAATTTTTCCACCATCTTTGAATTAGAATTATACTTCTCTTCATTTTATTATATCTGATTCTTTCTATGCATGTATGTATGTAAGCCTGCGTGAAGTATATGGCATTTATCAGCATGTTGAATTGCTTCCTTACAACATACCCCTTGTAGTTACTCTGAATTTTAATCACCGCTTCAGGAATTTTAAATTGACTTTGAATGATATTTCTACTGTATATATTTTTTATCAAGTAATGGTAATTGACCTTAGTTAGGACATTAGAATAAGACAAGTACTTTCTCTTAATAGATAAGAAGCATATTTTTAAAAATAGTTTTTTCTGGAAATTTGTAAGACACATGTATCTTCTAAAGTAGGATTGAATTAAAGCGGCAGATTTGTTAGGGATAATTGTTTCATTTAAATTTTTTACAATTTTAACCTGAACGAGATAGGTTTTAATGGCGCTGTTAATATTTTCTATCATCTTTTTTTGAAACTGTTCCCTTTTTAATTCTCTATATTTTCTTTGTTGGCTTATTTTTCTATACCAGGATTGTATATATACACTGGCTGCATGTCGAATTAGTTTTTTTTCATTCTTCATGAAATTCTCCTTGCACAACTCCAACGTTTCCTTTGTTTCGTCAAAGTCTTTGTTTTTTACAATGTAACTATAAAATATTATAAATGATACCAATAAATTTTTCCTTCTCTCCATTGTTTTCATCCTTTGGTGAAATAGGAACCTCCTCATGTAGTTTTGGATGACAACAATTTTGTCTCTAAGGAAGAATTTTATTTTCCTATTTTTGTAAGACAAGTAGCAATTCTCAATTTTCCGGACGTAAGGCACTATAGATTTTACATACTTGGCTCTCAAATTCTCTAATATAAAGTAAACATATTTACTTATGAAAATAAAATCCCGGAAATAAAATGTGTTTTTTGATATGTTAAAGTTGTATAAAATTATTTCGCACAAGTCTTTTTTTTCCTGAACATTCAGGCCGTTTAGGTAGTTGAAATTTTGTATGTGTTCTGGGGTTCCTTTCTTTTTCGTTACATGGCTTCGTGGACTATTCCCTTTCTGCGTCAATGCACTTCCTCCTATCAGGTTTCCCTTAGTGCTTGCACTTGTGTTGGGTACGGCATTTTCGCTAGAACTATGAGCGTCATTCCCACTTTGGTTAGAATAGGTGTTGCCACTTGCATTGGAAGGGGGTTTCCCCGTTGGATTAATTACAGCATTCCCATTTGAGGTGTGGGCAGAGTCCCCATCCTCGCTAGAGGCGTCATTTCCATTAGCACTTCCTTTAACACTTCCATCCCCATTTGCACCTTCTCGAACGCTCTCACGCATATTAGTATGAACTTCCATGTCTTCGTGTTCGTTCCCCTGTTCAGACCTCCCTGTACCTCTGACACAGCTATTCTCTCTCTTCTTCTTCCACCTGAGCTCGTAATAATTGACGAGCTTAATCAAGTCCCTATCCCTGCTGACGTGTATACAGAATAGCAAATACTTCTTAATAAAGTCTAGACAAGTCAAACTATGATACAGGTACTTCAATTGGTTGTTAAAAATTCGTTTCAAATTTAGCATATCGATAACATTTTTGATATGTTCCTTGTTTATTTTTTTTTTCAGTTCAGAAAAATCGGTGAACTCTTCCGCTGACATGGTAGCAGAATTGAGAAAAAATTTTCTGCTTGACCTTGTCATGCCACTAAAAAATGGCCTATTTGCAGATGGTGGGGAAAAAACATCCCCCCGGAAGATATTACTTTGGTGCCTACTACTAAAACTACTACTGCTGCTGCTGCTGCGAGATGTTCTGCCACCATAATATACACTCACACTTCTGCCATTGCCCCTGGCATATTTGGTCATGTACTTGGGCACTATAAATGTATCTTGTCTTGTTCTTTCCCTCTCATTTAAAACGAGCACGAAGAATTTTTCATATGTATTTTTTATAACACTGGAAAAAAAACAAATTTCGTCGTATAAAAAGTTGCTCTTATAATTTTTTAGCGGAAACGAATTTTGGAAAAATATTTTTCTTAAAAATTTAATTTCACTCTTTTCTATGATTTGTATAGTGTCATCTAGTGCACACAAATCATTGGCATTATCCAGAATCATGTTATTGCATCGGTACGTAACCGTTTCGTCGTTGTAGTGCACTATGGAAAATTTTTGTTTTCTCTTTCTTCCTGCAAGATTGCCTCCACTTACATGACATTCCTTATCACCGTTAGCGATTTCTTCCATCAGCCTTAGTAGCATTTTTTCTACATACTCTTCATCAGTCAATTTTATTTCTCTCTTTCTGCGCTCATCCTCCTTGTAATGGATGGTTCCTACGGGGGGGATACGACGATCGCGCCTGCCACTACATTCGAGCCTATCATTACTATTGCCGCTATCTGCTTCATCACAAATCCTTCTGGAATGCACCCCTTCAGTAAGGCTCTTCACAGCACGTGAAACTTCTGCAAAGTATAAGTACACCATTTTGTAATACTCTGCTTTTATGACGACTGATGGTCTTATGCCTTTTATCTCTTGGCCATTTTCCAAGGTGTGTAAAAACTTGTATGTATATTTTTGTAGCAAATGTGATATGGGATCTTTTCCAAATTGAGAAACGTAGGAACTGATTATGCTACCTCTACAAATGTGATCAGTCAATCGTCTGTACTTCTCCAAAGTGCTTCCTATGGCACAATCGTAGTTATCGTTTTCTTCCCTCGATTCGTTTAATGCTTTTATTGTATGCACGAGATAGCTATCCATGTTGAACATGGACATTTTCAAATAGTGATGGTGCAGTATTTCGTTATATAGGTTGTTAATAAGTTGGGATAAGTTGTTGTATTTTTTTTGTCCATTCTCATTTTTGTTTTCTTCTGAGACGTTTGCACTCAGCCCAGTATTGCTATACACATACAAGGAATGGGCAACGGTCTCATTAAGGAAGTATGTTCTAAGGTACTCATTAATTTGTTTTATTATCCTAATTTTTAATCTGAAAAATATGGTGGAACATAAATTTTTTAGCTTTATCTGACTATTTAAAATTTTCATCATCGCCTTTAAATCTACACCTAGTAAGAAAGCAATGTATTCCTCCATTATATGTCCTGCGAACACTATGAAATAAGTGAATTTTTTCTTTCTCTGTCCACTTGTTGTATTCTCATTTGTGTACATGTGATTTTCATGCATATTGGATTTATCACTTGTTTCCCCCCCGCTCGATGCTGCGTTGTCATCCCTGCCGATTTTTAGATGGCTGCTATTTCTGAAGTCCATATCCAACTTCCGATCAAAGGGGTTACACATCTTGCTACTCTTGCATCTGCGCACTCTCGTTGCCTTTTCTTGAGCACACCCATTCTGCAAAATCTGCCTAATGCAACTTACGCTTTTTTCTTCATCCGTATAGGAGCTAAAATCACTGCTCATATATTTTTCATTTGTACAATTTAAAAAATTTGAACAATTCTGATTTGAATAATCCGATGAGTCTTTTTCCCCCTGCTTGTTCATGGCGTTTGACATTACTAATTTTTTATAGTCCTGCACATTAATCAGCTGCAGATGTAGGAAGTTCAGTGTTTCTTCCTCATTTTTGTGCAAGCATGTTCTTATGGTGATATATATATTGATAAATATTAGTGCAAAGTTTAATCTAATCATTGAAAGGATCTCTTCTTGTGTGAAGCCTAGTTCTAGGAAATAATCAAACGTTTTGCTTATGTCGGTTTCCTTTATTTCTATGTCGGCAGGGGCGTCTACATAATTCTTATAAATTTTTTTTATATCAAGTGGGTGCAATTTTAAATGCTTGTAGTATTTATTCGAGGTATCCAACAGGGTGCTGCCAAGAAGGAAGAAGAATATGTAGGGTATATTAAAAATTTCGTTTTGGTTTCCTTTTTTCTTTGAGTGTCGCTGTTCGTGGTGCTCTGTGTGCTGTGCAACGGTGCTATCGGAGTCGTTATTCGAACTTGCGTGTAATTCTCCCCCTCTTGTTGCCTTTTTTTTTTTTTTCTTCTTCTTCTTCTTCTTCTTTTTTCTGTGTTCATATTTGTTGGAAGAGCTTTGTTCCCCTGGTCCTGATTTGCTGCCCCCATCGCCGCTACATCCGGAGTGATCCATTTTGTGATGATCGTCCCGGACATGTGCGTGGCTAATTTTAGCGCCCCCCTTTTTGCCCTGCTTATCTGCCCAATTCAGGCGCTCCAAGAAGCTTCCCATTTTGGTGCAAATATTTGTCACATTATTTTGGTCACTTAAAAAACACGGGAGGACATTGAAATATAGCAGTTTGTTCTTGCTGCTGAAATGTATGACAAAGTTGTAGCATTTGTAATTAAAAAATAAGTTAAGCACATTCATAACGTTTTTGTATGCATGATACAATTCTTTGTTTTTTCCCTTCTTTATTATATGCTTGAATACATAAGTACTTACTACATTCTGGTTGCTGTTTTTTTCTCCACATATGAAGATTAATTTGTTTCCATGATTTGATGTGCTGAGCTGTGGATCCTTGGAATTAACCAAGTTGTTATATCTACTGGAGTGATTGGACCTCTTGGACACGCTCCTTTGTTGGTAGCTACTACTTCTGTGTACGAAGCTTTGTCCCGAGTTGGAGGTAGCGACACTGCCCTCATCTAGGCGATCGGTCCTGGGCCCCCCAAGGAACCCCTTACCTATACCGCTAACAGCATCATTTGCAATTCCATTTGAATTTCCCCCCACCGTGGCGATAAATGTGCCCCCGGCAGAACCTCCATGCGAATAACTAATCGAACTGCGCATAGAACCTGCGAGGGAGTCACTGTCATAACCGTCCACAGAAGCGCGCCGCGGGTGGGTCTTAATGTTGAACAGCTCGTTAAAATCTATTCTAGAATTTCCCAAAATATCCTTGTGCACTTGCGCCATTTCATCGTTGCTTCTGACATATAATTCCGTCTTCAATTCGTTTAAGTTCTTTTTCCTCCTCTTAAACTTGTGAAAATGGAACGTGTTGCTTTTGCTCAGATTGATCCTTTTGTTCCACAAATAGCTGAACACATTTTTGCCATCTTCCCCATAATTGCCATCAGAAGCGACATCCGAATTTTCCTGTGACTCGAGTTCGGTGTTAACTTTCCTCAGCTTCTTCTGTAATGTATAGTTAATGAACGAACTAAATATATCATTATTTTTGTTCTTCGTTTTGAACAACAGTTTGTAAAAGGCGTGCACGTACTCATGTGGGTTGATCATGATCAGCATGTTGTTAAATATGCTCAAATAAATATTTTCATTGTATCTCTTAATGATCAGGTCGCAGATATCTGAATTTTCCTTGTACACGTAGTAAATGTCTTGTAGGTTCTCCATATTGTAGCTGCAGGGGGAAAAGAAGAATAAGACATACATGTAATATATATGTTCATGTTGTGTCGCGCAGTGAGCAAGACTCTTACGTGCTCAGGAAAAAACTCTGTCGCTTTTGTGAGAAAAACTTGTTTTCTCCCTTTCTGAATACAAAATGACATATTTTTTGGCCTCAGTGGAGAATGAAGACATATTGATTAGTGGTAGACACCCATGTGTGTTATTTTTCCTCACAACATACCTCATGGTGTTCCCATTTTGAATAGCAAAACATTCGTTTTTTTTTTTTAACAAATTGTCATAGTGGTTAGGCAACATTAGTTCGTTATTTTTTATAGCAATATCTGCTTTCTTCTTTTCCCTTTTCTGCTTAATTAAATAATCTTCATTGAAATGCAAGTCTTTCAAGGTACATAATTTATGCCTTCTTTCCGATTTTAAGTAAACATCCTCATTCCATTTTATGTTAAAAGAGTTTGTCATATTTGGATCGTTCCTGTGCCTATCACGAATTTTGCCTTTCATTTTCCAAGTTGAAAATGGCTATTTTTCGGGTGATCGCAGACATAACTGTTCGATCTGACCGTGTAGTACACACCACGTGGTATGGTGCGCGCGTCCAGGTGTTTAGTTAAGCTCACCCGCGTACTAACGCATGCAGCACGAGTAACCATTTGGAAAAGCGCGAGAAGGCAGCAACACATCCCTTCATAATTACGTAGCACATTTATGAGATGAGCGCGACAAAAAAAAAATGCGCTTATGTGTGTATGCATACAAACACGCACGTTAATTTTTTTTGTCCGATTTACGAAAACACACAAAAGGAAGAAATGTTTATATAAGCAAACACGCACATGTACACATAAAATATATATATGCATATAAATTTATATATGTGTATGCATTTTCACCGCACCTGCGACTGCGATTGCGACTTTTTTCAAGAAAATGCCACTAAAATGGGCAACGCGTGTAAACTGAAAAACGCTGAGCGGTGCCTGGAAAAAAAGGAAAATCGATCTTGCACATGCTCTCAGGTTCCGCCCACTGGGGCCAAAACTTCGGTCGCGAAATTCCAGGTGCTCAAAAAAAAAAAAAAGGAAAAAAAGGGAAAAAAAGAAATGGAAACAAAAATGATTTTTTACGCGAATAATATTGCAAAATGTTCCTAGAAACCTGCGCAAAAATTGCACACTGCGAAAAAGCCATTCAACAAAAGGAGAATAAAAGTTAAGGGAACAAATTAAGTGAAATGGTCCGCAATCAACAAATGCTCCTGAACAGTAAACACAGGTAGACAGTTTTTTTTTTCCTTTTTTTTGCTTATGTACGTACTTGGTAAAGCCTAACAAAGTATGCAACGATCTAAACTGACGAAACGAAAATTTAGTCGATTAAATGGTATACACAATTCGTGTGAAAGTAAAACCATAAAAGGGACAAAAAAAAAAAAAGGGGAAACGATGCGAACATTTCTAATGGAAAGGTAGCGTACACTGAGAAGAATGCCGGTGGGAGGACAGGAAGTGAAACTACGTGAGCATACCAAAATACCAGACAAAAGGCAGCCTAATAGATAAATGAATAGAGAAAAAAAAAAAAAAAACGCCATGGGAAAGGAAACCCTGAGTAATATGGGAACCCTCAAAAAAAAACAGAAGCTGGACGAGGAGTTGCTCGAAATAATTATTTATAACATATTATCGCTTATTATTGTCAACGGAGAATTAAGTAAAACCTCCTCGAAAAATAAAGTAATCGATTTAATCATTGTAGAAAATGTCGATTACATTCTGAACAACTGTTTTTTCCTCTGCTTGGGCAACATTCAAAAATTGCTTTTCGTGATCGACTTGATATTGAACGATGAGGGTGTGTACTACGAATTTGGCAAAGTCCACAAAAAGGAAAATGCAGGAACTGCGAAAAATGCTGAAATGATAAAAATTGAGGAAACTCCGATCTGCAAAAGTAGCACACTTGCCGCTGCTGGGGCGGACACCAAGGAAAGCCGTATCCCACGTGCCCCTGCAAACGATGGCACGATCGGCAAAGCCGATTTCGATAGAATGCAAAAGCGTGCAAGGAAAGACAGGCAGGTAAATGGAACCAAGTCTACACGGTTTACCGATAGGTATAGCCTGAACAATTATATTAAAGACATTTTCCTCTACATAGAAGAAAAAAACATCTATCTTAGTTTATTTCATTTTAATTATATATTTAAAAATAGCGCAGATTACCAGCAGTTTTTTCTGCGAAGGTATCAAAGTTACACGTTCGAAAAGTTCTACAGGGAGATTACGGCTGTAGCAGGGAAGCGCCCCTTGAAGCGCACTCGCAACAACAGCCATTCCACAGGAAAACGCATGAACGTAGGGCTAAACAGAAGCGTGTGTGGAAACGCAAAAGAGGTCGCTAATTTGTTATATATTAAAAAAAAAAAATACACTAATTTGTACGATGCCGTAATAAAATATCACAAGGAAAATTTCAATTTGTTGGGAACAGCAGATACTTGTGACGGAGTATCGTCCTGTTCTTCTTCTTCCTCCTCTACCGTAGGGGACTACACATGTTCAGTCTCAGAGACCAGGAACGATAAAAGCATAACGCGTGGTGCACAATGGACTAATGCAGCAACATTCATACACGACATCGCTAAGAAAGGAAACGATGCAAATGCACAAAATAGTAACAATTGTAGAAGCGGGAATGAAGGCGAGGCGGAAAACATTGAATATGTTCCATATGATCTAATAAGTAGAGAAAAAATAAAAAAATTATATAAATATAAAAAGCACAAGTGCAAATTGATTCAGGACAATAATTTTATATCTAAAAAATCGTACATCCCTATTAATTTATTCCCTAATAATGATTTACACGTAAGTAATATAAAGTTTCAAACCCTATCATCAAGCATACGTGTAAAGGTGCACTTGCTCATTCTGTTCACCAACTTGATCCTAATGTTCGATTTGCTTAATTCGTCCTTGTACCCATGGGTGTACAAATTTATTTCTTTTCTTCTAAATGTACTGAATAATTTTAATTGTAAATTTTACTACTACTTGGATAATTCATCACTACTGTCCCAATTTAATAAAGAAAAGTTGTTCCTACTTAATAAGACCACGTGGGATCACAAATTTGTAACAAAGGTGAGCGACGTCAATCGAGTTAGCATATCAAGGAGTGCAAATAGCCTAACTGCAAAGGGGTCCTCCATTTTAAAAAAAATGGTGCAAAAAAATGCCAAGAAGGACAACAGAATTAATACAAACTTCCCCTATACAAATAGCGGTTATATTGAAATCTACGATAAGGACAAAAAGGAAAATGCGAAGAAACTTTATTTCCACCACTTTGTTTCTGTTCAAATTTTGAAATACTACTCCGTTTTATCCCTATACGAGATTGAGAACTTGTATAAAGGTTACATGCTGCGCTATTGTTGTTACGTCAAGTTCGTGGAACATTATTGGTGTGTAGTCAAACACAATGTAATTTTTTTCCTCACCCCCCTTCAGGCATTTTATCCTGCCTTCTCGGAGATGTGTACAACAGGACGATCAGCACTATTTGCATGTTCGAAAGGGAAGGAAACCAGTACCCCGTTTCGCCCCCATGTAGGAATAACACCCACTTCAAAAATAAGTACTTAGAAAAAAACAACATCGATTTGTATAGGTTAATTGGAGAACTTACCAAACTGAGATGCAACAATAGAAGTGAAGAGGTGGTTATAAATGCCTTGAGGTATCTTTATCTGTTCGTTCTGTTTAATTATATTACAATATTGGGGAATTTTTCGATCGTTCATGAGGTTTTTGCGGAAGGAGACGAAGCTCTGCCCCGTGTCGAGGGGGAAGAATGTAATGTGGATAATTGCTCCGATGGGAAAAACGTGCATGCGGATAACTGCTTCGATGAAAGAAATACTCATATGGATTACTGCCAAGAGGCCGTCGTTGGCGGGGCAAAACGGCAAGCTCCACTACGCAACGACCTAGCCAATCTTAACTACCAAATTAACTCATTCGTAACAGAGAATCACGTAAGGCTAGAACTGCAAGAATTTTGCAAAAGCACCCAAGTGTCAGACGGGGTAAAAACGAATTCATATTTCAGGGGGAGTCTAATTACACTTCCGTTTTATATCAACCTGGGGGGTTGTCAGATGACAGACCAGGTTGGAAAAGTGGAAGAATTGAATCGGGTCAACGATGTTGGAAATGGGTTCGCTGATTGGTTCGCTCATTGGCCAGCAAGAGACCACGAAGAAATTACCCGGGGTGAGTATCCCCCCAAGGAGGAAACAACGAGGCAAAAAGAAATGATATGCAACGCGAACAAGTGCAAAAGGATAATACAAAGAAGAATAACAAAATTGTTAAGTAGAAATCCCCATTTGATGTTCCATATCACTCGGTATGTCCCCCTTTTTGCAAGCACCTTGGCTGATATGCTAAAAAAGAATAACTATTTTCTGTACCAAAATGATAGCTACCGTTTTGCTGTCTGCATCAATTACCTTTACATGCTTTACGCAGAAGTGAATGAAAGTGTCATTCGAGATTTGTATGACAAAGTTATGCTAGTTATAAAAAACGGGTTCTACACACATATTAGTAAAATAATCATAATATATATGTTTTCCTTTTTTTTAAACAAAAAATACGTTTTGGATCTGTGCGAAAGGGATATTAATCAGTTCTTTCCTACTTTTTCCGACTCAAAAGATTTAGCAATTATCAAGTATTATTTTGTTCTGAAATTTGTTCAGTATAGGCCTATACCGATCAAGTTGGAAGAGGTACACAGAAAATTGTATACCTATCACAATTATGCAGTCGTGGGGGAGGCTACTAAAAATGGAAACACTTGGGGTAGTGAATTCCCCTTTTTGAAGGACCACGCGTTAGGAAAGATGCGTTCAGAAAAAGATACATCATGCAAGTACACTCATGGAGTAAGAACTGAAAACATCGCATTCGAAGCAGAACAAAGTAGTGGTCATGGAAGGAATGGCCCCCTAGGTCCACAATCACGATGTTGTAAAAAACAAATTAGACAAAACTCACCTTTAGAGGCAAGGTCCACTTTGGTATGCACCAATCAGTGGGAAAGTGACTGTGACACATGCGGGGAAAAATTACAAAAGACGAGGTTGCGCTTGAAGTGTGATCCCACAGAAAGCATTTCACAGTTGGGCGTGGCAAGCAGAAGGGATGAAGAAGAAAAGAAAGAAAACGCTAGTGGGAGGAGCCTGCAATGTTATATAAACACTCTTTGCCGTAAAAGAGCAAATGTGGAGCACGCTAAAGGATCCAAACCCATTGACAAACTCTCAAAAGAGTGTACCAAACATAGCGTCAATAGTGAAAACCCATTTGAGGAAGACCACTCCGGGTATACTTCGCCTGGCAAGAACAATTCCATATATGAGAAAAAAATATACTTTCTCATATTCTCGTACCATCTGTTAAAATGCAATAGTCAATCCAGGCAGTCGAAGCAAAGGCTAAAGGTGGAACTGCTCCATATACTACTATCCAACATGAGCTCAGTACAAATAATCCATTTTATGTTATATTATTTGCATGAAAAAAAAGATTTGAAATTATTCTGCGCTATCCAAAATGGGGTGTTAAGTTGCTTAATGAAGATGAAGCCAAGTTATAAGCTCATCAATTTTTTGGCATTCTTTTTTTACCTTGTAAAAATCAAATATACAAATGTTAAGGCTATTATGAAGATGCTGAGCAAAGTGTTTGTAAAATATGAATTCAATTTGAAGGTTTATATGGTCATGTTTAAAATTATAAAAGTGGTTTTACACCGTCATAGAATTTCGGATAGCTACCCATTCATTCTCTCCATTTTGAGGCACATAAAGGAAAGCAGCTACGTGTGTTTACACACCACGTGTATGTACTACATAAATATAATTCAAAATAAAATTTCATTCCTAGACTGCACTACATTGAGGAAACAGTGTCGAGATTACTGCCCCTATCTGACCGGGGCAGATGTCAATCCTCTGTGTGACGATCCAGAAACAACCCACAGGATCAGAGGCATAAACATAAAATATACAAAAAAATATGACACATCCAATTTTATTCAATTAAAAATTTGCAAAATAGACAGAAGAATGATGTTATCTCTGAAGGATAACGGATCGAGCATTTTTTACGCGCAACGTGGTGCAACAGATCCCGAGGGGGTAAATATCGGCGCAAGTGCCTTCCCCTCCAGCCATTACTATAACAGCAACGATTTTTGCGCAGACTCGTTTTACAGCATCTACAGGGACGACTCTTATAGCTTAAAAAATTATTGCACGTACATTGCTAATGCGGAGCAGTGCATCTACTTTCCGTTCGTTTTGAGGTACTCGCGCAGTGTAGAAGCAGCCGGGGGAAGAGGCACAAACCCTGGGAAAGGAAGCGATATGTCCCCCTCGAACGTTACCACTGTATCACCCAATAAGTTACTCCACATATCCGCACGTAAAGGAAAGCACAAACTGCACAGTACGAGGAGCACACCATATAGAGAGCCACTTTGCAACCCAAACGAAACACTCTTCTGCCTGAACGTATGCTTCGTGCACAAGGGGGATTTCGTGAACATACATAACGTGTACATTCCATACATACAATTAGGTAACGAGTATCCCCCTAGCAGATATGGCTCCTCTGAAAAAGATAAACATGATGCACCGGCAGAAGTGGATCACCGTCATGAACACACGAGGGCAGAAGAAGACGCGTTGTTCCGAAGGCTACCCCGAAGAAGAAAAATTTTGTCACTGAAAAAAAAAAACTTTTTTATCGTCCGGTATAGCGGTGCATTATACAGGGGAAAGGTAAAGCACACGATGAGGATGCTAGTTAGAGTTTTAAAGCGGGGAAAGGCGTCCGTGCAGGAAGAACACTCCAGGTGGGAATCGAAGGGGCACTCCACAAACGGTGCAAGAACCAAACGAGGAAGTCGAAAGAAGAAAAAGAATAAGAAGCACACTTCAGCTAATCCAACGCATGGCACCCATTTTGAAGACATAAAAAGAAATCTAATAAAAAAGGAAGCATATAAAATAAATTGCATTTTAAAGGGAAATCCATTTTTAAAAAGAGCAGTGTGCCATGTGGGGGGCAAAAGTGGAAAGGCCAACCCAAGCAGAGACGAGAAAGTAAAAGAAACGACCAATTCATACAAGTTGTTAATCAAAATAGGAGTCAAATTACTAATTAAGAGCAAGTTCTATGCATATATCGTATACTTAAATAAGGAAAAAAAAACCTTCAAAAGATTTCTGGGAAAATATAATTTAAATTTTCAGGATTTCTTCCAACCATTTAGAGCGAGCATTGAATTCTGGAAAAACATTTTTGAAGATGTGTGGAATGGAAAAATTGGGAAAATGTATAAGTCCTCGAAATATTTGAACATGACATCGGATAAGGTTCTCCGAGTGATTAAGAAAAAGCTACACCCATTTGTGATCCAAGAAAACGTTAATGTAAAAAATTGGAATGTCTATAATTTTCCCCAGTATGAAATGCACGTAGGGAGAAACTACTCCCTGAATGACAAATATTATTATGCATATGGGAAAAAAAACAAAAAAATTAATAACCCCATTTTTGATGAGTTTTACATTGATAACTATCCCCTGGGTTCCTTTGAAACTGATGAGACGACTAACTCGACAATGAATCGAATGAAAGCATATGATCTTAAGGACGGTGGAACAACCAGAAAAAAGGAAACACATTACCTCGGATACAAACCTAAATTTATGAGTACCTTTGTACATGGTGCTTTAAGTCATTCTGTTCTTGACGACCATGTAGATGTAGCAACTCTGGAAAAAAGCGATAAACCAAGTGCAAAAGTGAATAGTACAAAAAAGGGGACTCGCCTAAAAAGGCACAATAATGGGCGTGCTACATTTTTTACTCCACGCGTAAGACGTATATTTCATCTGAATGTGAATCGGATAATTGGGGAAAAGGCAAAATGCGGGAAAAGAATTACTCAAGCGGGTGAAGACAGCGCAGTGCGGAAAATAACTGAAACAGGGCACACGCACAATAATGGCCATTCGAAATATAAAATAAATCGTTATTTATCGAGTGAAGGGCAGGGGGAAAAACGTAGGATCAACCCTAGGCGTAGCACAAACAGCGACGTGATTAAAAAATTCGTGGGGATTTTTCTGCCACCAAAGTATCACCTGCTCATGGTCTTTCACATCTACGAGTGGTCTACCTCGGTTCAGATACGCACTGATAACTTAAATGCCCTGAACTATGTGAACCCCTTTTTCGATGAATGTACGGCTGCACGCTGCGAATAAAAAAAAAGGGCAAGACGGCGTGAACGCGTAGATGTGTGCTCGTATATATAACCAGTTCAAACTGTTCACCCTTGTTATCTTAACGCTTCTTTTTCAAAGCGGAACAGTTGGAACACCCCAGACTCTCTCCATTCCCATTTTCCCTTTCTACAGATTTCGAATAAAGCGTCAGGAGCAGTCTTTTATTCAAGTTTTCCAAAGGTCAGATGGAACAGCGCGCACATTTCTGCGGTGGACAATTCTAAATCATTATCCTCTCCGCACTTGGTGTTTCTTTACAATTTTGTACATTTTAAAATTTTTCAAAAAAAAAAAAAATGTCTTACATATTTCAAAAAAAAATAGCGCAAAGGGGCTTAAATCTGGTGTAGGAAACATAAAAGCAAATAGCGCTTACATAAACACAAAATCAGAAAATGAAAAAACGTCAATGTTGAACAAAAACAACCAAAGAAGTTATGTTGTGATGCAGTAACCTAAAATGATTGCCTACTGCAAATGGGTGGTTAAAAAAAAAAAGAGGGAAATATATATTTTCTTTTTTTTGGTACCGTCTTATTTCGTTCATTCCCACAACTTAATGGTGGAATCCCAGCTAGCGGTTGCCAACATAGAGGTGTTAAACGGGTGCCACGCACAATCTATGCAGACATTTTTATGCGCTTTCATATTTTTAAAATTTGACATTTTTTTCCAATTCCAAATGAAGAGGCCTCCATTACTATCCCCACTAATGACGTACTTCCCGTCATTGCTACAAGATACATTAATTGCATAACCAATATTGTGATGGCCCTTAAAAGTCTTCTTTGAAAATAGTCTAAATTTCCCCGTCGCTTCATAAACAGTAATTGCATTATTCATCGATTGACATAAAAAAAAGTTGTTACTTGGGTGGACCGAAACGGCCGTTATTGAAAACATAGATGCATCTGATATATACTTGACAACGACAGGAAGGCCATATTCCCAAATAAAAATCTTTTTATCATCGGATGTACTTATCAATTTTTTATTATTTTCACATAGGGTAATAGTATTTATGGCTTGTAAATGTTCATTGTATTCTAATTCAACGTTCCCTGTTCGGAAATCTATATGGCAAATTTTGTTATTAGCACCACCAACCAAAAACGTGTTTGGATCATCGGGATTTAAACATAAACAGTATGGAGTCTTTTTTTGATTATACACCCCTTTTATTTTTCCATATTCTGTATCCCAATAAATTACGTTATTGTCATAACTACAGCTTAGGAAATTCACTCCGTCATTATCAAAAAGCACATCTTTAACCCCTTTAAAGTGTCCCTTATATGTTCTTACGCAACTTTTTGACTTATACACTCCCCATAATTTTAAGGTATGATCTAACGAGGCAGAGAGAATGTAATTTCCATATTTGGGGAAAAAACGAATCTTCTGAACCCCCAGTTTGTGTCCTTTATATGTGTGAATTTCTTTCTTAGGAGGAAAATTTTCTTCTATCATAAATTCTCTTTCTTTATATTCTGCTGGCAACTCAAACCAAGACTTATGATAATAATCATTTGATTCTTCATTTATATGTAATGTGGAAACTACCTTGTCATTATATAGGGTAGTTTTCTCGTTTACCACATTTTTCTTAATTGCTTCGTCTAAATTGCAAGATTCTAACTTCATAATTGCGTTTTTCTTTGCTGCCTTTTTAGGCTCGCCTTTCTCATTATTAGCCTGTTCATTATTTATTTGGGAATCAGCCTTTGCACCGTCGTTCTCAAGTGTCTCTCCCTTTTCAGTCTTTTCACCCTGTTTGCTATTAAATGTGGTCTTATCTTCCCAGGGGCCTTTATACTTTTCCAAAGCGTCATCATCATGGCTTTCATTTTTGATTTTCTTCTTCTTACACCTCGGATCATATGATGACTGCCCATCATTTAGCAGTTCATCATCCCTACTCCTTGCTACTATATAATTTTGATAAGTCTTCTTGTAGCAACTTTTCAGGGCCGGGTTCTGCGCTACCCCGGTTAAGTTAAACTGATTATACTGATAATCAAACATGTTTTTATTCACATGGGTTGATTCTATGCACCCATTGTAATGATTCTTGGATGCATTTTTTAAAAAGTTGTAATTTTGATTTATACTGGGTCCTTGTTGAGGTTTATTCAATACACTGAGAAAAGTTGGATCGTCGAACATTATTTTCTTTTCCATATTTTTAAACTTTTCTTTGTAGTTTTTTATTTCCAAGTCGTATGTGTCAACGTTGGGAGCACAGTTTATTAGGCTAACGGGAGTCACACTTAGCATTTGACCCTTTTGCTCTTCCCCTTGGTCGTTTTGCATCCCAGCGGTCACTTCAGTTTCATCTTCCTCCACGTCTTCACTATCGTCATACTCCTTCAACAGATCCATGTTGCTCGTTCATTCTTTTGTAAGCATGCGCTAGCCCTCAGGCATACATAAGCGTATACATTTACACGAATTCACAAAAGCGCGTTCCCTCAGGTTCTCCGCAACCTCTGAGCTGATTCAGCTCGCTACATGAACTGAACAAATACGCAAGGCAAATAAGGGTGTGATACCTTTCACATGTGTCCCTCGTGCCCCTCTATACCAAAAAATAATTATAACGAATCGAACATTCTTTTGTGATGCTTTAAGAAATAACCTTAATGCGTCCTTCAAAACCGATCTGCGTCGACGGGCAAAATTTTGTTACTTTTAAAAAGCGCTAGGCAGGATGAGAAATTGGCTGCCTTTTATACGCACGTAAAAGTATTCATAGGTAGCAATATATTTACAAATGTACGAATACTTTATGACGGAGGCAATGCTAGCTTCTTTATTTGTTTCGCCTGTCCTCCATTTCGTAAATAATTTCAGTTAATTGATAGATTGAATGGGAGGAAAGCAAGTTCATGGTTTACTCATAATACTGATTTTTTCTTTTTTGTTTTTTTTTCCGATTTATTTTTTGAAAAAGAACGGGGTTCGCCACAAAAAAAAAAAAAAAAATAACAGCGCCAATTTTGTGTACCTTACCCCTTATGAAATTAATTGCAAATTTTCGGTGAAAAAAAATTTGGAAAGCTATAAATACAAACAACGAAGCTGTAACGTCAAAAAAAAAATGTGAAAAGTATCGTGGGTTGTGATGTGCCCATATGATCTGCGTGCATCGGTTTAATGTCCAAGTAGTAGTTTATGCGGAAACAAAATGCGTGTATTATTCTGTCGTACATAGGCAGCCATGCCTTATTTCATGAACCGGAAACGTACACATGTTTTGCCATACACGCATGCGCAACATTGTCAAAACGGGAAATTAAGAAAAAACAGGTTAATTTTTTCCACTTGAAATCGAAGTTGTATTTTCCCTCGTGTGAGGGATTGTGTTATGTTCCCTTTTTAGTGGCTTATTTTTTCTACCACTTTGGAGATTCCCGTTGTTGCAATGTCATGCGAAGTACGCGACGAACACAAATGAAAAAAATTCCCCTATGGGACCATTTATTTTTAAGAACTCAAAGCAGCTTGTAAGCATTACTACCGTTCACAAAAATGAACACATATATATACATACACATATACTTTTAAAAGCATGGAAAATAACGAATTACCCCCACTTTATTTGCGGAAACGGGGAAAACCTTCAAATTGACTTAGCGGAACTTCACGTCGGCTTGATAAACTACGCCAAATTAACGCAGCTGAAGGAAGAAACACATAATTGGGCAACGCCACTGGGTGTTTCAAAACAAAGCGCGCAAGTTGGGGAACAAGAAAAATGCTGACACATTTGCGCACTTAATTAAATTTAGAGCGGATAAGCAATGATTTATGCTTTAAGCTTATTTTTTCCTTTTTTGGACATTTGAGCTAATTAAGCTTGAAGCATAAATCATTGCTTATTTTTCCATTTTATAGAATAAAACCAAGGTGAGCAAAATGTGTCTATGCGAAATATCATGGAAAAGTTACAAAGCCGCGTGTGCAGCACGGTTAAAAAAAAAAAAATAATAATAATAAATAACACAGGTTCAAATTTTTTGGATGTCACAAAATTGAGCCTTAAGCGTCCCCCTCCTCGCTCATTGCTGCCACGTAATATACCATCTACTCCCATGGACATGCATATATGGAAAATTATACACACTGGTGTACGCGCTTCTCTTTGACCCCTAATGTAGAGCAGCCATTTTGTCCTTTTTTAAAAAAAAAGAGGAATATTCATTCCACAAAAAATTTTTCGTTATGCTATTTATCCAATTAATAACTAGCCGCTCACACATTTTACAACGAACATAAAAAATAGCTATTTCTGAAGTGTTGGAAAAAAAAAAAAAAAAAAAAAAAAAAAAAGTCACAATAATAATTTTGGCTTGTTAGCTGTTTTGAAATATAACTCTGTTTTTATCAAGTCATAGACACACGTATGGAATATTTCTTTCTTTTTTTTTTTTTTTTAAATGTGGTCATAGCTATAACTTTTTTTTTTTTTACAAGCGCACAATGTTGTAACGTTGAATTAAAAAAAAAAAAAAAATTTAACTCAAAATGTATGTTAACGGAATAAACATCGCAAATGCATGCTTTGTAAGAAATTTTGGAAATTTCGATCAATCCATTTTTATGTTTTATTTTCCTACATTTCCAAAGACATATTAAACATGAACAACGGCGAAATTAACGAAATACACCATTTAAAAGGAATTGCAAAATTAAACCTAACTGCCTGAAACTTTTTAGTGTAAAAAAAAAAAAAAAAAAAACTTTTCTTTTCTTTATGGATATCTATAAAAAAAACAAAAAAAAAAAAAACATACACACGAGTGAATAACGTACTGTTCGGCAAAGCTACGACAATACGTCAGAAATACTGAACCAATTGCATACTCCCTTTTGTAGAACTTCACTGTGACCATTTCGAACGCGTGTGTGCGTATGTGAGGAGGGTAACTGTCGAAACAACCCCTGTCCCGTTCGCTTCCGTGGGTCATATGTTTATACATATGTATGAGTGTGTATATCATACATATGCTTGTATCTATGCCTATGTATGCGCGCATCTACATGTATTTAAGCACCCTTTTCCGCTCTTCACCACACTAACGCGTGCATTCTTCCTTAATTTTCCACCCCCCGAAACAACCCTATAAAGGAAAAAAAAAACGGGCGAAAAAAAAAAAAAATGAACCTAGTGACACCCGAGGAAACATGCACATTTCCCAATAAGAATATTAAGCAAAATTGTCATGGAATGAGCGAAGAAAAATACAACAGCGTCCTTGATATATTCTTAAACCAGAAAGAGAGTATCTACGACTCCTTACTTCATTTGAAACAAGAGAACGAAGAAAAAATGGGCTCCGAAATGAATAGCGATATCTGCAGGACGTTGTCCAATTACGCAGATTACTCAACCAAGAAGGTAAAATATGTTGTAAATAAAAGATTTTCAGAATTGGAAAATATCGAACAAAATGTGCAAGATATGGACTACTCCGTATTCAAATATTTTAGGACCTTACCTCCAAAATATAGTGACGAAAATGACATAAGAAATAATATCATTTTTAATAATAACAATATATATATATACGCAGAAAATAAAAATGGAACGTTAAATGAGCAAGCTTGCATCTCCATTTCACCGGATAATAATATCATTTATTGTTCTACCAAGGGCAGAAGGTACACCATAGGTGGCCATGCAGGAATACAAAAACATATAAATAAAGAATACAACTTTTTTGAAGACACTAATATAGTATCCCCACAGGATAGCATTAAGACATGTGCTTTCGATGCAAATGATACTTCTGATATTTCCAGCTCCTTCACCAAAATGAATTTAATAAAAACGAACGACGTCCTAGATGATTTCAATGTAAATAAAAGTAACGCGGGAAATATATTTAATGAACACATCATTATGAATTCTTGTGACTCCAGTAACCTGAACACAACCAAGTGCTTATCTAAAAATGAGTCCGTCCAGAAATTGTTTAAATATTACAAAAAGCGTTCTCAAGATTTGGACCATGAACAAAGAGTATGTAAACCCTGTGCACACGTGTACAATGGGAATAAATGCCTCAACGGAGATGAATGCGCCTTTTGTCACCACCCAGACCATGTCTTAATATCAGCCAAAAAGTGGAAGAAGCTGGTAAAAAACAACATGGAAAAGTTGAATATCCTTTTGCACGTCCTGCGCAACCCGGATGATGTAAACGCTCAGCTGCTGAACGAAATGCTAAAACAAAATACGAAAAACTTCAAAAAGAGCAGGAAGATGAGCAATAGCAATAGGGGCATGGGAAATGCCAGTGGCGGGACCCCCGGAGCCGGAAGCTACGGTTTTACGAACTATGGCGCCACCACCTATGGCAATAATGGGAACCTTCCAAGTAGCTGCCTCAACAACCTTGGCGGGATTAGCAGCGTTAGCGGGCTTAACCTCCTCAACAATGTTAACGCCCAATGTAACATCAGCACTGCAAACAACGGAAATGGAAACAACAGGAGAAATAAATTCGGTAAAAATAAGCCATTCTACCTTCCCCCTCAAAATGGAGAACAGATGCCGAGATTCCCAAATAGTCATTTCGAACTGAATGAAGAGACAGACACCTATAAGAACAAATTTCACGTAAGAAATTATCAAGCAAACATAGACAAGAATTTTGTCTTTCTTCCACATCATATTGATATGTGACGGTGGTGTAGGGGAAAACCAGAGAGGGAGACAATGAACCAAGTGCATAGGGAAAAAAGGAAGATATGAACAAAACCGCTAGTATGTACACGCCATACAGGCGGGGATCTGCCACTGATAAGGAACAGCAACACGTGCTTCCTTTTCCTTGGGTGGAACAGGGGCGGATTACATTTTCTTGTAAAAGCGGTAAGTAAAAATGGCTGCAAGTTGTTGAGCAGCTAACCAACAACTGGCTAATTGATGAATGTACTCATTGCATGCCGAGTGCGATAAGCCATGAGGAGAATTATCTCGCAAGTTAATTTTAATTGAGGCTTTGCTTAAAAAAATGAAAATCTCAAAGGTGTATGCAAATACGTACAACGAGCACGACACGTATAGTGCTCGTAAGGCGCATGAGTGTATACCAGCACATGCGCCTAATTGATAGTTTCACCTCTGCTCTAACTGGATGTATACACATGGGTGCTTAGTTTAACGCACAGTCGTTCGCCCATGGGGTGGGCAGACACTCATGCGTGTACACATGCGTCTATGTAACTGCGGCGTAGCCCAATACCTAGGCGTTTTAAGATGCGTAACTTGAAGCAGTACCCCATTGTTATGTAGTGTTATTTCTGTAATAGAAATACTTTATTACGCAATTCATTGATGAAAAAAAAAAAAAAAAAAAAAAAGACTCGAAAAAGCAAAGGCTGTTGTAAATTTTGTATTTTTTTCCTTCCCTAGTTCATTTCGTCACAACGCTTTAATTTTAAGTTTATGTTTAATTTTAATTTCAATTTTAAGTTTTACCATTTTTCATTTCGAAATCTATCTTAAGCTTTGTTTCAAGCTACTCCCTTGATCCTGAACGGGAGGCTGTGCGTTAAACCCCAATTCTTAGCCCATCTTTTTTTTTAACGCCTCGGTGGGCGCTACTACAATACACACTACTTTGATATCATTAGACACCTCCATTTCATCATTGTACTTGTTGAGAATATCTGTTTTTTTTTTTTTTTTTTTTTTTCAACATGGCCACGTTACGGTCTACACTTACTAGGACATGATTTTCGATGCCACACATGTTGAATGCGCGGCTTACCTTTTACATTTGAATGTTAAAATATGTTTTCCCCAAAAGTGTATACCTTTAAAAAATATACACTTACGCAATGAATAATAAAACATAGGAGTTGGTTGAGCGCTTATTTCATGAAGCTTTGCCGAAAAATGAGGCTATGGAAGGGCGGAATAGGCTCGCGTTAGGGATATCACAAATGGGTGTTGCGAAAACGGTGCATAAAAAGTAGAACGGAAAAAAAGGTGAAATGCATGGACCACAAAGTGGGCCTCTAAATGAACAACAAACTCCAACCCGATGTTACTATTTTTCCTGCCCAAAAAAAAAAACAAAATAATGGGCAACTAAACAAGGGCATTTGTTCTGATTAATTGTGCCCGTTCCGGGCAGTGCAAAAGAATTAGTTTTGTAAATATTTACGCACAGATTCCCTCATAGTATCTATAACAAATTTGGGGTTATCCGCCTTAAAAATACTCGTTCCCGCAACGATAATATTTGCCCCGTGGGATGCAGATATCTCCGTCGTTTCTATATTCAAACCTCCGTCTACTTGAATATTTATGTCTTTGTATTTTTTTCGAAGAAATGCAACCTTGCTCATCATGTCATGCATAAATGATTGTCCTCCGAAGCCTGGTTCTACCGTCATCACCAAAACGGTGTTTATCAAATTAGTGTCTAGCAGGGGCACAATTTTTTCTACATTTGTGTTGGGCTTAATAGAAACTCCGCACCATTGATTTCTGCTCCGTATTTGTTGTGCTAGCTTTACACACTTGTCTGTATCTTCATTTAGGGCTTCAAAATGGAAGGTCAATTGGTCTGATGTTTTCAGTAAGTCCACGTACTTCTCGGGACTTTCCACCATCAAATGGACGTCAAAAAAAATACCTTTTGTGTATTTTTTTAAATCGTTAATAACGGGTGGCCCGAATGAGAGATTGGGGACAAAGTGCATGTCCATTACGTCTAGGTGTATCCATTCTGCCCCCAGTTCTTCCATGCGCTGGGTTTCTTCCGCCAGTTTGCTTATGTTTGACGCCAGTACCGAAGGGGCGATTATTGCTTTGAGGGAGCTCATCTTTGTCTATTCCCTTGGGTCGAGTGTGCAAATATGTGCTTACGTGTGTTTGACCTGTGTGCCCTGGTATGCCCACTGGTATGTATTGCTTTACTCGAAGTTTGCGCTCCTTTTAGTCGATTTCTCTGGACAGGAGCCACTATTTTTTTATGTTAGGGGTGGATATGCCAAAATGAGCTACACAACTGGACACCTGGAAATATGGAACTTGTGGCATTTGGAGCATTCCAAACGTGCTTAACATTGGGGGCATTTGCCAGCCACCTTTTTTATATTACAAGGGTACCTCTGTATAAGATATGTATTTTTTGTGGGATGATTTTTTGTCCAGGTAAATTTCCTGCTTTGCGGAGGGGAAAAATTAAATCAAAAACGTTCACATAAATTGTCCATTTGGATGGGGAACTCAAAGTTATAAAGGGGCACTCGCGCGCCTCCAAGGACGTAGGTGCATCCAAATGGAAGACGCGTGCTTGGCGATCATGTAGGAATGGCCCTACATAAAACCGCTAACACAGCGAAGTTAAAAAAAAAAAAAAATGGTACGAGGACATGAAGCTATAAATATAAATCTGCACAGTGACAAAATTGGTTCCTTTTACACACTTTACATTATGCCTCACCTTCTTAAACAACTCGAACTTCGTTCAAACAAATGTATGTTTGATTTTTAACAAGGCAAAGTATAACTGGGGTTAGCTTGGCTTCCAAACAATTTTGACATCCTCATGTGACAAGTGTCTGCAGCAGTTGGGGGCCTTCAAAACTCTTAGCCAAATATTGCGACGTATACGATATACGCAACGTCACATCCACATAGGACTAGGTACAAAAGTAGGATCGAAATTGGGAAGAACAAAAATTACGTTTAACATCAGATATGGCAATTTTGTGTAGTATATCCCAAACGATTTTCTTTTGTTCCCCCTCAAAAGCTTGTTCATATGATTCTGTGAAGTTAAAAGGATGCAAAAAAGAAATGTTTTAACTATCACAATTTTGTAACAAAGTGCAAACAATTTATTCTCAATTTTAATGTAGCGTGTTGCCCCCTGTTTATGCGCATATCATTTTGTTGATTTACAAATTATAAAGCGATTTTGTTCTTGTACATTCTGCATCTTTTTTTTTTTTTTTTTTTTTTTTTGTGTACCTCAATAAGGTCACCTTAGGGTAACTCATATTTATACGTTACTACTGTGAATTCAAGGATTCGTTTACTCCATTTAAAAATGGCGCGGGGGTTGAAACATTATTCGCCTCAAAATATTCGTCATCGTTGTGTACGATAGAACTATGCGAAATGGCTATAGTTACAAATTATGAAAAAAAAAAAAAAATCGAGGCATTCATTTTATGGTGCACTGCCAATTTTCCACGTTGTAAATTTACTGTTGAACTTTTTTTTCTATGACAACACGTTTATATCCGAATGTGCAAATCTGCTTAGGCACTTTCTGTCGCATGAGAATGTGCACTCAAATACTAAATCTCACTTTTGTAATTTGTGAAATAATGTCCATTGTATCGGTAAATATATCCTCATACGTTTTAGCGCACCAACTAGTTAACGTCTTTTTTTTGTCAATCATATTGAGCACCCTTTTTTAAAAGTCCATTTTTCTTAAAATCATGTTATGGTAAAAAATTCCATTCACGCAAACAAAAAAAAAAAAATTCAAAAGAGCTATCCTTTTTACAATTCTCGCGCAGCAACGTCCAAATATGTCGACGAAATTAGAAATGCTCAATTAGACAATCGGGCCACAAAGTGTGGTTAAAAAACTCCTAGGAAAAATAATATGAAAAAGAAAATAAAAATCACGAAGCACACAATAAAGATAAATAAAATTTGTACTATGTATAGGCGCACGTTTAAGCATTCTTCATTTTCGTCCTTGGACGGTTTACTAACTAGGGCTTCCAAATCATCATTCATTTTGGCACATGGGGAATCATATGGAAAGTGCATATACGTGTACTTGTGGTGTCAGCTTGGTTCGTGGTTCCGGCCGCTCTACTGCCCACCCGCTTGTTTTTTCGTGTTTTTCCAATTTTTGTAGATCCAGGTAAAATACACTTAAAAGGCACACATTTCGCGTGTGGTTCAAACGAATGCCACATTTATAAATGTTAACTGAAGGAAGTATAAATTTTAAATTGGGTAGTTGTTTTCCATCTATTAATTTTTTTTCCACGTACCTGTTAGGACGATCACATGCGCATATATTCCTTTTGTTCTTGTGAACGGTTATCGGGGGAAAGGAGAAATAAAAATGAATTAAACTCACAAAGCAGGTAAGAATGATAAACAAAATTGCACAATTAGTTACATGTATAACAGCTTTCGAAAAGGAAAAAAAAAAAAAAAAATACGTTTCGTGTTTTTTGCATATTCATAAATGATTTGTGTGCATATGTACATATGTCCTTTAAAAACAGGGGTGAAATAATTTTTTGTTTAAAAAGGATTACATGTGGGAAAGGGATAAAATATTATAGCGTCTGTGCGCCCTTAAAGAATAGGTTCGAGGTTACAACCAACCTTCATATGGGGTAACTAAGTGTTACGAAGAAAATGCGATTCGGTAAGTGAGAAATAGACAACTGGTACATATCATACATGTATACAAGTCTAAATGTGCATTACAAGCCTAGCGATAAGTGTAATTCTTTATGAAACTGCTCCGCGTCACAAGCAACTAAAAAGGGGTTCACGTGATGAAAAGTTCTCACAAAAAAAAATGGCGTACATGTGAGCATAATGTATATGCGCACGTAGGCCCAGTTACACATATATACTTACACATGTATATTCTGGCACTTAGACAAGCGAACTTTTGTCCCCGCAGGTTACTATTTTAAGCTTCTATACACATACACGCGCACAAACAGGTGTATTACAACAAACATATGCTTATTTCAAACATAAGCCAAATGTACCATCAGTAATAAATTTGAAGGGAGTTAGAGAGAAAAATTATAAATAAAAAATTATTATTTGAAAAAAAAAATTTACAATATATAGCGCATGCAAGATATACTGAAGGAAGAAAAAAAAAAAAAAAAAAGGCTTTTTCTATATGGTGAGCTTCTCACAAAATTGTGCAAAAAAAATGATTACTCAGAGGAGGCTTTTTACCGTGTGGAGGGGAAGGAATAAAAATGCCATGTTGAACAACCCACAAATTGGTACCTAAAAATCGTCTACAGGTGGGACCAAAAAAAAATCATAATTGTTGCAATTTGCGTATTAAGTTGTGCATAAACTTGTGTAGTAATATATATTGCGATATGCAAATGGATTTAAAGGGCATTTTTCTGTAGTGCTGATATACCGCCGTTTGTTGGGGAGGGGTTCCTACATGTGTCCTTTTGAGCTCAATAAAAAGGTAATTACCAAAGCGATGGAAAAATAAAATGAATAGTCAGGTGTTACGTGCACACAACAAGGTTCGTCCGCCCATGGCAGCCTTGCAGGTTTTTTTTTTTGTTTTGTTTTGTTTTTACATCATGTTTGAAAAACAAATGTTATGTGAAAAGATGCAATAAAAATAAAGTAAAATTTCTTGTTGTCCCTGTTTACGCAATTTGTACACACAGCACAAGTTTTATAAACAAAAAAATGTGTATACATGTATATATTTGTATATGAGCGCACACCACGCTCCTTTTGATCTGTTAAAATTCATGAAGCAAAGTGGTTTGCTTTAACCCCCCCCAGACACACATACACACACACCGCGCAGTGGCCTACTAAGTAGGGACACTTAGCCATTTTGCATTTCCATGCGCATTTGTGAAAGTGTGCCTCATAATCGAACAGCAGCGGTGAGTAGACAAACTCAGGAGCGGAAAAGGGCAATTCCCCAGACACGTAAACATACATACGTATGTACACATACGTGTCCAAGTGTCCTGCACATATATATAACATATAGAAAAAACACACACACGAGGAAATCAGCGAGGAGCAAACATGGGAGTGCCGCCCACCATAGAGGAACTGAAAAGGGAAAAAATTATCCCTCACGTTTTTCCGGACGAAAATGTGAACCTGACGGTAGACATGTACATAAGTTTTAAATCAGGAAAGGAAGTAAATCATGGGAACATATTAGATTTGGCTGGAACAGGAAGTGTTCCTAGGAATATAAAATTTTCAGAAGCACCCCCAGATGATTACTGCTATGTTTTGTTTATGATCGATCCTGATTTCCCTTCTAGAAGAAGACCCGATGGAAGAGATTATGTGCACTGGGCTGTGTCGGGTATTAAATCTAAGGAACTAGTAAAAGGGACGGATAAAAATTGTATTACCTTATTGCCCTATGTAGGCCCATCCATTAAGAAAGGAACCGGCTTGCACAGAATTTCTTTTATTCTTTCGTTAATTAAGGAGGAAAATAAGGGCAACATTAACGGGGTGCCTCTTTACCGAGGTGAGCATTACATTACCAGAGTTAAATTTAACAACTGCCAATCTGCTTATAACGTTATACAGATGAATGATATGAAAATTGTGGGGTTTAACTGGTGCCAGATAGAGGCATAATTGGTTCCCTTCACTCGTCCCTGCACCCTTGCGCCATCAGGAATATGTACACCACGTGTGTGTATACGAACCCAAATTTGGCCATTCATTTGGGCGTTAAGAGGTGAGCATGCAGTTTTTTTTTTTTTTATGATTAAGCGTATGATGCACATGTACACCAAATGTTACTTATCCCCTCGCATGTGTAGCTGCCGACTGACATATTTGTTGTTGTTTACCATTTCTCTGCTTTTTCTTCAAAAGAGTTGTATTTCTACAAAATTGTTTTCTCCATTGCGATTGTGTGAGCGTACATATGGGCATACGTATGGATCCCACACACCAGCTGCCCTTCTAATAACAACTAAAAGTTAGATCTATGTAAGTGTTTTTTTTTTTTTTTTCAACTCACAATTTATAATTCGTGTGAATAACATGAATTTAGTTCTACATTTGCACGTCCTGGAGTTGTGCGCCTGTGAAAGTGGTGAATGCGCACCCGGTTGGGGAATCTTTAAATACGCATATTTGCGTACATTTTGCTTCAAAGTGGGGAAGTTAAACGGAGAAACAGCTAAAAGGGGGTTATTACACACGTTATGCACATTTTGTCGGATTATTTAGTGCACTAATAAGACAGTGCACATGTATACGTACCACCCTGGTGTGGTGGCGGTGGGGCTTTTTAAGACGCTCCCTTCTGTTGAGGTTTTCACCGGTACGGTCACTACCACCAAACCTTTTCCACCCCACAGGGGCACTAACATGTCGTTTACTGATTTTCTTAAATCTCAAAAAAAAAAAAAAAACAAAGTTGTTATCCTACGTTACCATTACGCAAAGTTAATTTTTTCACGTAGTCTATTGCCTTTCACGATGTTTTCCTTAACACAACATTGGGTGTAGTATATTTTTTTTTTTTTTTTCCCCCAGCATTAATCGTTCGTATAGTTTTTTTATTACCACTGTGGAGAACAAATTAGCGAATTTTCCTGTGCGTGTTTAATATACATACAAAAGTAGTGACAAATATTTTGGAAGATTTTTTCAGTTCACTCACTTGTGCCAGAAATATGTGCCCTTTTTCGAATATGCTTGTTGTTATAAACCCCCCATCACCCATTATTTTCATTTTGCACGGGTGGAAGTATAAGGTTCGACTGAAAAACCAGAAATAGTTAATTTCTAGAAAGTAAATTGTCTAACCTTGGTTCAGCAGTTCATATTAAATTTGCTTGAACGCGTTTTTGTTCTTTTTTTTTTTTTTTTTTTTTTTTTT